GAAATTGGCTGTTGCCGTCAAACGTTCTTGTGACCATCACGGTGGGAAAACGAAGCGGTGCACGCACATTTTTTGCGCATGTGATATTTTTCACTGTCTCATGGCAATATCACCCGCGCCCCTTAAAACCAATGTATTTTCGGAGGGTGACAGAGATTTTTGTTTAATTTTCTCCCAACCAATCAAATAGCTAGAAATTCACTTGAGGTGTAACAATATAGTTTGTACTACTATAGTTTATATCTGTTTACCATACTGTTTATTTAGAAGTTTGTGGTCGGTGACGGCGATATTATAGTTTGTATTACTAGAGTTTATATCTGTTAGTCATACTGTTTATTTAGAAGTTTGAGGTCGGTGACGACGACTATAAACTTTGTACATGTTTTACATTATGTTCTATTTCTGTTATCATTCAGATACAAAGTATAAGTTGCAATCCTTTAATTAAACAAACATTTGGATATGGGATTCATTCATATTACATTACCTAATTTAACACAACATCTGATGATCTTGTAATTATTGAAAGTCTGATTTTATTGCTTTTGGAAGAGAACAATATATTGGTTTCATTGGCCCTTCAAAAATCTTCTGTTTTATTTGTGTTTCTTATCTTGTTTGTTTAAAAACCAATGATCGAGATTTAATTCAACACAGATACACATTGTCTTAATATCGCTGATCATATTTCGTGTGAGTAAATAATCGCCTAGGACTTTTACACATGGCGGTTTACACCGTATTTAAAACTAAAAAGGCGTTAAATATTTGATTTAAGTTACCGTATAATTACAATGATGATTGTTTGTGAAATATCCCCGCAGACCTCCATACCCTGATCCTACCGTTCAGTGGACCGTTTAAATAGTATAAAGTTCATTTGCATGGAGTTGATCAAACACGGGCACAAAGATGTGTTTGTATTCCTGTCGAGGAAACTCCTGAAAGGGAAAGTACTTGTTAGATTTTACCTGCCACCCGGCACGCCTACGTTTGTTTTGTATCGGAAAATGCGTGCGTCGTCAAACCTATTGATAAGTACAAATATATATTGGTATATATGGATACAGTAACACAATTTTATGCGTTCAAATCGACCGGGCGGACAAAGACTTATTGGACATGTAGAGAAATCAATGGAAAAGAGAACTGGCGGCGAGCCTTTGATAAGTGTTGGAGAAGTGGACGAGTTGTCCCATGGCTATAATTATAGAGCGGAGTCTAAGTGTATGTTTAAAATGTATACCCAACAACTATAGTGTCACAAGTTTACCTTAGCTGTTAAGTTTGTATATTAGTGTAATAGGTCGACAGTGGCCAGTTTGTTGGGTTGGCACTTTGGCGTGAGGACATGTGTAGTAAGTCGTTAACAGAGCTAGATGAGACAAGGAGCCCCAGGGTGATCGTATAGAAACAACTGTATATTATATTCATGGAATACTAACTAAGGCAGAGGAATATCACCTACATATACCATTTAGTTGAGATAGCATCAAATGCTTTTCGAATATAGAATATTTTGTGACGTCTAAAATTTAAAGTGAATGGCCGCATTACCCATCTCTTTCGTTTGTTGGTGGATTGTGTAAGACCCTACATAGCTATATGATACTAGCTACATACAGGTACACATAGCTTTTACGGGTTACATATGAATTAAACAACACCACATCAATGGATATTAACGCTTCGAAATTGATGAGTTTCCAAGAGCACAACCTCCAGGACAACTGACAAGGCATCCGTTGAGGATAGTCTGACTTGTACCATAGCATGCATTGGGTGAAGATAATATGACAGTGTTACCGTAGAGGGCATCTCATGAAGATCATCTTACTGTAGTACCATGACGCATATGCAAAAGAAAGTGGTGGAGTTTATCTCCAAAAAGCCCTCGGACAGGAAGGATATCATTATACAGATATTTCTACCCTGGCTTAGGAAGAAGAGCCTGCTCCTACAGGATTTAGATAAAGGTAAGGACAAAGTAGTCCCGTTGGTATCTTGGAATACCATGTCGGTAATACTATATATATTTAGATGTGTACGTAATGTTGTTAAAGTAGAATTTGTCGATTGTACGCTATGAAATATATTTTTTAAGCATTTGTTTTCTGTGTCGTAAACATGGACAACGTTTCTTGCAAATGCACAGTATCATTAATCGTCCGCCGTCGTCAAGGAAACACGGCAACAACCTATTTCTGACGTCAGCTGAAAGTCACTAAAACTGAAAATTCTGATAAGGTCACTGGAACTGAAAAAAAGACGAATGTGTAGTGTAGACTGTAATCAAATATGAAACGTTCGATTATTGTGGGATATGTGACCATTTAATAAACACACCAAACGACAACAAGCGTAGGCCCATTACATCTTACTATTAAGTTTTCTCTCTTTAAGATGTATCTGACTTATCAATTCACATTTTGAACATTTTTAGTGTTTTATAAAGTTGGATAATATGGTAAAGCCTGCAATTTCCGGTACAAAATATTTTCATAGTAGAGATATAATGTTTTACAATTTTAATGTATGAGTCCACTATTATTCATTATAAAATATTATCTATCACTAATCATTTTATGGTGAGTACCTTTGATTCGAAAGGTCTGAAGCCAACAGAGAATGTTTTGTTTTGAGTACACACAGGTACACCCACATCTTCATACGTATAACCCATGTATTGTTGTTGGTGAAACAGCAGACGTTTGGCTGAAAGTTGAATGGGGATATCGATGTATACCGCGTGGTAGACCGTGTTACATTTAAAGCACTGTGTGTTGTGATATTATAACGATACAGTGGATGACAGCTCCACACGCTCTATATAAGGTTCGTGTGATTTGTAACTCGGCGTTATAAATGATATACAAACCTTTTATGATAAACCTATCTGTACCTGTTCTCAAAACTAACAAACAATCGACAATCATACAGTAAGTTTACTACCCACACCTATTGAAGCGTTAACGACCAATACGACACGAACATTCTCTAGCATGGTGAATATATTACTTAAGTATTGTCTGACAATGAGTGAAATTAAGTGTGTATGTTTATATGTAAAGGAATACTTCCTAATTTGGCCAGTGCTTGTCGTAAGTAGCGACACTAGACACCCCAATTAACGCTAATTGAGATTCAGTAAAAACAGGCGAATTAATGTAGTGACAACAGAACTGTCTCAATAAAGATTGGTATCAACTATATAATCATCGTTTGGCAGCCTTGACTGATCTGATGTTCGTATAAAAGATCTCTCAAACAGTCTAACAGTATTCTAATTTACTGACAAACCAATCGTAAAATACACCTGTACACGACTAAGTGCGTCAGTTCAATAATGACTTAAGAAGACATACCTTTAAAGTTACAATTATCGCCCGATTTTGGTATATATACCGGTAAGTTACGGATTTTGTGACAGGTATGTCATTGTTATCAGACATCTAATTTCTAATTTCCTTCTGTTTTCATAAAAAAGCTTCGCAATATGATTTTGAAGAATTATTCTATTCGTTTTGGGGTGACGCAGTGACAGTGGTAGACATATAATTCAAAATAAATTTCGGTCATAAAATACAGAACATTGTTAAAATTCCGGACCAAGAATGAAGTTTTAAAGGAAACAAGTACTAATTAAAATGTATCGTATCAATCTCATTTCGTGACGGTACACCATGTAACGTGGCTACAACATACTATACTGGCATACTTAGATATATAGAAAATGACGACGGTAGATAATAAGTTTCCCCTTGAAAATGAACTTAATTACGTTTCTGAAAAGTACTTTAAAATGAAATCATTTAATAGGTGATATGTTATACAGAAGGGAATATATCGGAAGCGAAAGAAAATATTATTGTAGTAAATGATGGTTGATACACGTGATAATTGAACGTTACGTCATTGTCAGCATCAAGGCCGCTGTGTAATACCCTGCTAGACTACGTTCGAGGTTACACAATCGGCTTATGACAACCATAATAGATCACACTGGAAAGAGCTTCATCAGAGCGTCAAGAGACAAACCATTCCATATTGCCTTATACATGTATATACACGGCCGACAATCAATTATAATTGAAATTATAAATGACCAATATTTACTTAGAGAAGTCTCACAACAAAGCCTGTGGAAGGTGGTTGTTGGCCGGACTGGTTGGAGTGTTTCTGACCTGTGGTTATGTACTTACCTAAGTAGATTTAACACGGAGCTACACATCGACCATACAAGGATAACACTGTCATGTCAATATGTTTTCTCATCTCTATTACATATATTTAGATTAGTTTCTTGATCTACAATATCACTGTTACTTTTCACTTTACATTTATTAAGCGACCTATCTACATTATAGTGGTAGTTCAGTATACGTGGGGAGATTATAACAGTATTTGTCAATGGAACATCTGTTACCACTAAGTGTTGGTCAAATCAAATATAAATCATAAGGCACACAACAAGTACATTGAGTGTCAAATGCTTTATTCTAGTGACTCTGGGTGAATGTAAAGTCAAGAGGCATAACATTTTCTTATGATTTGCGATTGCTATTTAAATAGGTACAAGGATTCTTGAAGTTTTGTCCGGCATAAATGTCTTCAATTCATTTCCAGTTTCACGAGCATGCGCTTCCCCTGCGCGTATAAACTCGACTTGTAAGATTTTCTGGACCGCTACACATCCAGTTACTAAAAATAAGTATGAAGAAACAGACATTAAACACGTATAACTTGTCGATGTAGAATCCTTAAAAAGTACACATTTGACTGCACACGTGACCATTTTGTCAATTTAGTACCCATCAGTGAAACTCTTCAGTCTAAAGTGTACCGAACCGAAACGTATATGTAGAAATAGAGAGGAACCGAAACGTATATGTAGAAATAGAGAGGAACCGAAACGTATATGTAGAAATAGAAATAGTCCATATAAACCGTGTAGAATAAATTTCAGCTACAAAGTTACTGCAAACCTTGGGGACTGATAGTCCAGCTACAAGGTTACTGTTCACCTTGGGGACTGATAGTCCAGCTACAAGGTTACTGTTAACCATGGGGACTGATAGTCCAGCTACAAGGTCCAGCTACAAGGTTACAGCCAACCTTGGGGACTGATAGTCCAGCTACAAGGTCCAGCTACAATGTTACAGCCAACCTTGGGGACTGATAGTCCAGCTACAAGGTTATTGTTAACCATGGGGACTGATAGTCCAGCTACAAGTTCCAGCTACAAGGTTACAGCCAACCTTGGGGACTAATAGTCCAGCTACAAGGTCCAGCTACAAGGTTACTGCCAACCTCGGGGACTGATAGTCAAGCTACAAGGTTACTGTCAACCTTGGGGGCTGATTGTCCAGCTACAAGGTTACTGTCAAGGACTGATAGTCCAGCTACAAGGTTACTGTTCACCTTGGGGACTGATATTCCAGCTACAAGGTTACTGTTAACCATGGGGACTGATATTCCAGCTACAAGGTCCAGCTACAAGGTTACAGCCAACCTTGGGGACTGATAGTGCAGCTACAAGGTCCAGCTACAAGGTTACTGCCAACCTTGGGGAATGATAGTCCAGCTACAAGGTCCAGCTACATGGTTACTGCCAACCTTGGGGACTGATAGTCCAGCTCCAAGGTCCAGCTACAAGGTTACTGCCAACCTTGGGGAATGATAGTCCAGCTACAAGGTCCAGCTACATGGTTACTGCCAACCTTGGGGACTGATGGTCCAGCTACAAGGTTACTGTCAACCTTGGGGACTGATAATCCAGCTACAAGGTTACGACCAACCTCGGGGACTGATAGTCCTTCTACAAGGTTACTGTTAACCTCGGGGACTGATAGTCCAGCTACAAGGTTACTGACAACCTCGGGGACTGATAGTCAAGCTACAATGTTACGACCAACCTCGGGGGCTGATAGTCCTTCTACAAGGTTACTGTCAACCTCGGGGACTGATAGCCCAGCTTCAAGGATACAACCAACCTCGGGGACTGATAGTCAAGCTTCAAGGATACAACCAACCTCTGGGACTGATAGTCCATCTACAATGCTACTGCCAACCTTGAGGACTGACAGTCCAGCTACAAGGTTACAACCAACCTCGGGGACTGATAGTCCTTCTACAAGGTTACGACCAACCTCGGGGACTGATAGTCCGGCTACAAGGTTACGACCAACCTCGGGGACTGATAGTCCTTCTACAAGGTTACTGTCAACCTCGGGGACTGATAGCCCAGCTTCAAGGATACAACCAACCTCGGGGACTGATAGTCAAGCTTCAAGGATACAACCAACCTCTGGGACTGATAGTCCATCTACAATGCTACTGCCAACCTTGAGGACTGACAATCCAGCTACAAGGTTACAACCAACCTCGGGGACTGATAGTCCTTCTACAAGGTTACGACCAACCTCGGGGACTGATAGTCCTTCTACAAGGTTACGACCAACCTCGGGGACTGATAGTCCGGCTACAAGGTTACTGTCAACCTCGGGGACTGATAGTCCAGCTACAAGGTCCAGCTACCAGGTTACTGCCAACCTTGGGGACTGATAGTCCAGCTCCAAGGTCCAGCTACAAGGTTACTGCCAACCTTGGGGACTGATAGTCCAGCTACAAGGTTACTGTCAACCTCGGGGACTGATTGTCCAGCTTCAAGGTTACTGTCAACCTTGGGAACTGATAGTCAAGCTACAAGGTTACAACCAAACCCGGGGACTGATAGTCCAGCTACAAGCTTACTGTCAACATCGGGGACTGATAGTCCAGCTACAAGCTTACTGTCAACATCGGGGACTGATAGTCCAGCTACAAGATTACGGCCAACCTCGGGGACTGATAGGCCAGCTACAAGGTTACTGCCAACTTTGGGGATTGGTAGTCCAGCTACAAGGTTACTGTCAAAGGTCCAGCTACAAGGTTACTGCCAGCCTCGGGGACTGATAGTCCAGCTTCAAGGATACAA